ATATGTATCTTTTGGCCCCATCTAACCACAGTCCAAATCTTGCCATCTCAACTTCCGCAACATATCCAAAATATGACCCTTCTTACCCAATGACACCACAAAACTTCTGATTCACTCCCTAGTTATCTCTCACCTTGACTACTGCAACCCCTGCCTCATTGGTTTACTGTTACATAGGGAAGAAGAAGAGTCTTTTGAAATTATATACTATAGATGATTATATATTTAAAGTCTTTGAAATTTTACTTTGAGGAACATTATTATGAAATTGTTCAACATTTTTAGACGCAGCTTTTACAGATTGGTGAACCCTTGCCTATCTTTACTTCTGAGACACTGATTCTCCAAAGTTGCCCATACAACAAGGATCAGCCAGATTTTGATCCATGTAAGGATGTATAGACAAGTGAAGGAAAACTTCAGTTTGGAGTTTTCAGAAAAATAAAATGTAAGCAGTTACGCTATGTGACAGAGGAAATGTAACAAATCTAAAAAGGTGGGGTTATTCAAATTTGGCTGAAAAAAAGTGTAAATGTACTTTAAAACACAAAAAAAAATAAACATATAGTTTATGAATAGTGGATTTTCTGGCTCCACAGGAACAGTTAAACCCATGCATACAAGATTTATCTTTAATGAAGAAAAAAAATCCATATTGTGCAAACTTTAATGCCAAGCAATATTCATAGGGATGGAAGTCACTACAGGTCACTTGAAGCCTGTCCATGCTGCGCTCCTCAACGTTTTACCAAAAATGAATTTGAGTGCAGTTTCAACAGGGTTCCATCTTATTCAGAAAACCAAGAAGAATTTCAAACTGAAAGTAATCACTAGTGTCAAAATAGAGGTCTTTAGTTTGCATTTTCAATATGGAATTACTTAACATTTGCTTGTTTCACTGGTTACTATAAAAGGACAAAATAAATTGAAGCCATCTGCTATTATGTACAGGGCCATCTGAGCATTTCTGCATTCATAGCACTATAGTAGCCAAGCTCACACCATACTTTGGAGCTCCAAAGTACACCAGTGTTTAGACAGCTCTGGGGTCAATAACAGAAAATTGCACAAAATATCCCCCAGCCAGGCATCAAGGACATTTAGAAGTTTATCATCAAAGATAATTCAATATTTTGTAGTAATGAATTATATGTCCAATAATCACATTCATCCAAGCTGAAGCACAGTTTATGGAGTCATGCGCCTGTGATCAGGTAATTCAGAATTATGCTAGTATTCTGGATTACCTGATCTCAAAGTAGAATTCCAGGTTGTCTTTCACCTTAAAATACTTAATTGGTGTGTGTGTGTTGTAATGGACTGTAGTAGCAATGCCTATATACAGTAAGAGCTGCGTGTTCTGGCAGCATTATGGATGATTTCCCATGCGCTGCCAGAATTAAGCAAGGTTGGGCTTTTCCATTGCTTTGAATAGACTGGTGTGCTCACTGGGTATTCTGGACAAGGAAATATATTCACTGGAAGTCCTGGTCTCGGTTTCTAGACTACTGTTTGAAGCTTGCAAACTCAGCCATAAAGTGGATCTCACCACACCCCCACAAAATAGAAGAATGGCGCTAATTCTATTATTGTGAAAGAAAAATTGACCAAAATAGGGGGTGCCCACAGAAGCTTGATAAACTCTTGGGATCTGTGACCATCAACCCCTGGATTGGCTGCATTGACTCTTGTTGTACAGCAATTGCTTCAGGGGTAAACTCTGAAGCTGAAGGGAGGATGATTTCTTTTTTTTTTTTTTTTTAAGTCCGCAAACATGCAAACTACAACGAAAAAACCCGTAAGTGAATCACAAAAAAAGTGCAAGTGCAAAACACCACACGAAAAAGTGCACTTAGGGGTGTGCTTGTGTCCTACCCCTAAAGGGGCTTGGACCGCTTACCCTGATCCCCCGGGGCACGAAGCTCCTGACGGGGACAAGGTTTCCCAATTGGTCCTCCTGGCCAAAAGGCCTGGTGGACCACCGTTCCTTGTGTCCAGCCGAAGCCAGACACTCAGTACTTGGTCAGGGGACTCCCCCGAAGAAGAGCCCCCTAGGGATCAGGGGAGGAAGGAACCAAAAGGCCACACATCCTCCCCCTAGACTTCAGGGTAGGCCAGAGGACCCACACCCTACCATCCAGTGAAAACACACGCATAAGCAAAGAAAAAAGTGACAAACGTGGGAGGTGTTAAATTAAATAAATAGAAAATAAAAAAGTGGTACCGTGCCAAATTGTGCACAGACCAGGCCCTGAGGCCCGTAGCAAAAATTGCCCTGGACTTAGCCAAAAGGCCTGGTCCTTAGGGTGCTGTGCAAAAAGAGTGTAAAAACAGTGACCATGTGCCATGTTCACACAGTGGGGTCCCACACCCAGGTGTTACTAGTGGCACCCCTGAGAGCGTCTACTCAGGGGGCACTGAGTTTGCGGACTTTCTGCCTCCTCAGCCCCTGGCCAGACCAAGGTAGATCCGTTCAAATCAGGAGGTACTGGGTCCTTCCAGTTTTCTCAGGGGAATTACTCCCAGGGCCCCAGCTTAACTTGTGGCGCATCCCCAGTTTCTGTCCCCCCGGTAATAGCTTTCCAGACCCCCATCATACCAGTGAGGGTACTATACAACAGCCATCCCCGCAAAGCTAGAATGGCCAGGAGCACCCCCACTGGACACTGATAAGAACAGATACTACACTTGATCTTAGCCAAAAGGCCGAGAAGCGAAGGGAGGAGTGATTATCCTACACAGAATTGGTGAACTGAACTGAGGAATCAATGCTTGGGTGGCAGCCCCTGTCAGAACACAATAGAACAGCAGGGAAGATCGCTGAACTAACATCGGATAGGCAGTACAGCAGCTCCTCCTGAGCTGTCAGGTTTATTTTCGTTCGGCCCGCTGGGTTGAACCAAAAAAAAAAAAAAAAAAAAAAAAAAAAACTAGTAATGTGTACTAGCCTTTACTGTACATTTGTCTCCTTGCTAGCAGCATGTAACATAAATTAAGTTTTCTACAGTGCAATGCATTTATGCAACATCTGAAGATCACACATTGTTTGAAGTACACTCTGAATGAGTTTAGCCAAACTCCATCTATTCCACCATAACGTGATTGAAGACAGACATTTGTAAAAAGCAAAATTCACATCCCTGACACCTTTCTTATTGTCAGCCTTGGCCTGCAAACATTTTCTGCACTGTAGCTAAATTTATGCTGAGGCTGCGCTCTACAGAGCTTGGATAAATGCAATACTACACAAAAATAATTTCTGGCTCTTAAGAGTGGCATTGAATCAAACCATTATTTGGAGAAAATGCCATTTTCACACTTCTTGTCTGTAGTTACAGTGCAGACACAGTCAAGCTAAATGAAAACAGAATAATTACACTAGCTTGGGTAATGATGACAGTTCTCCATACACAAGTAAAGAAAAGGCAAACTAACTGGTTACATTAACAAAGCAGATTGGCTTTTAACATACAATTTGCCAGTCAGTTTTTAGGTGTTAAGAAAAGAGCAACATTATGATGCAAACCTTAAATTACCACTATAAAATATCCTTCTTTCCCAAATATAATCCATAAATGTTCACTAGATAATGGCCCTGTAATCTATTTTTGATGGAATTTTTTCTTACTGGGTTTCTCTATCTCCTTGCAATGTGTCATGGAAATTTTCTATTACAGGTTGTCCTTTAAATGTGTCATATATTAGTGTTATTCATATGTCTCTCGTGTGCCTTAATTAAAGCTCTGAAGGCTGCAATTAGGCCATGTGCATTTACAATGTATATATTACAGTACTCAGCTCGGTAATGGATGAGATGGCAGATCTGCGCTTCTAGACTGGCGTGCATGCCACCACGGCATTGGATGCGAATGCCGCAGGCGGTAGGCCGCGGGCCTGTATCCACATATCAGCAGCATAGTACCACATGGACTTCGTATGGCCAGGCGCAGGCAGTGCGAACTCCGCGTGTAGGCTCATGTTTATCTCTACAAGCCGCTATCGACCTGAACTGTATCTGGATGGATGTGTTTTAATAAAGATCGTATTGGGCCCATTCAGATACAGACTGGCACTGTTTAATCTAAGGGATGCTTGTACAGACACTGTACATACTGCTGGGAGCTGATAGCATGTAAATAATGTAAAAATCGCTCTCCAAAGCGAGCTTACGGGGGAGGACAGAAAAAAACTGGTTTAACTGGTTTTAGTATAGGTTAAGAGGGAACTTTGCACTCCGAGCAGGATGGACATTCTCGTGTATGGACACTCCCTATACATTGCTCTGTGGGAGGGGATTGACTTGGCCCCGTGCGGGGGGTGTGGTTTGTAAGATAATAAAAACAGGTGTCTGGGGTTAGACCCGGGCAGAGTGGATTCCAACTTTAACCTGGGGAGTATCGTCTGATTTATTCCTGGATTACTGGAGCTCCATTTCCCCACATCTCAAAAGAGCTAAACCTTTGCACACCGGTTGGAGGCGCAGGAATCGTGGGGCTAAGCTGCAGTCGCGGTAAGTGGAGGGCGCAATACGGTTGCAGCGAAGTTCGCACAGCTTTATGGGGGATTGCTGTGCATCCAACTGCGGGCACTCACGGTAAGGAAAATTCATTGAAAGCGAATTTCCAAGACAAATGTCCTCTACAAGCTTCTGAATCTTTCTCCACCAGGTCCATATGATTAGATGAACAGTGCACTGTTCTATGCAAACTACATTTCCCATAGTCCATAGTTCCGAGTCCCCCTTAGGGGCAAGCAAGAAAAGGTGGCTAGGTTCCTACATGCATAACGATCACAGAGAATAAACGTAGCCACACTCTAAGTCAGATCAAAGAAGAATTTAACAAAAAAAAAAAAAAAAAAAAAAAATTTAGAGATTAGAAACCTATTTTTTGTGTTACAAATACATACTTGAATATCTTTTTTTTCAAAGTGAGGTTTAATTTTCTTTTACGTGTAGATAGACAAAAAAGTTTATAACATAATAAAGCAGAAAATATTACCTGAAGTTTTCCAGAACAAATGTAGTGGAATCATAGGAAGGAACCAGTTCACTGTAAAATAAAATTATGCAAATACATGAGCTCAAGAAAACATAAGAAAAGCTAGAAACATTTACCTTTGCCTTCACTACTCCATCTAAAAAACAATTAAAGTATGTTTTTTCCCCCCTGTGCAGTATGTGTTTTATGACTTGTGTACTTTAGTACAATGATGCAAGTAAGAGTGCTTGTATCTATTAAAGATGTTAAAACATATAAATAAAAAAATGTATCCCTTCCACAAGGTAGTACTTGGAGCTTAAGCACCAATTGCAGGCCTTAGTAAAATATATATATTTACTAATTTACAGTGTGTGTATGTGTGTATATATATATTCACAAATGGTAAAACTAATTTACACCCAGAATCAGCAACCGTTGAAAGTTGTGTGTCTTTTCCCACCACTCCAAAAAAGGCATGCTGATAGCTTACATACAAGCAAGCTACAGTTGAGAGATGCCTTACCCAGCAGATTTGATTTCTAGGACTCCTTCACCATGCACTTATTAAGATTAGTCTACTTAGTCTACCTCCTCCAACCTAACCATTGGATCCACAGGTGTGGACAAGTTTGATGACTTCGCATGAGAGGCTGAGCAGCTTTTAGGTGAACAGGAAATTGTGGGAGAGCGGAAGGGGGGGGGGGGGGGTTCAGGGAGCTTTTTGAAGGTTAAAGAAATATTGCACTGAATTTACAGTTGTGCTTTATGTAAAGTTTGTTTTATTTATGAGATCTTTGTTAATACTTATATTTATCCAAAAAAAGTAAGAAATAATCCTCTCACATTGCTAGGAAAATAATTTGCTGCTAAATGTGGAAGACTTTCTTTGGATGCAAAAAACTAAATTGGTTGATTAGATGCTTTGATTCTTTTGAGACCAAAAAAACCTAAACAGATGGTCCAGAACTCTGTCCCATCCCAGAAAACTGGCATCTTTTATGACAATCTTCAGTGAAGGGGAAGAAAAGAAACCTGCCCTCCAATGACTCTGCATACAGAAGCCACCATGACCGAGATATGTTGTTTGAAGAACGAACAGGATCATCCTGACCATCTTGCGCAGATTTGTTCCACGCTATGAGACTATCAGAGTTTTCCATGGCAAAAGTTCTTTGAGCAAATAGAACAGTTCCAAAAATGGATACAATCAATCAGAGCACGGACCTTGGCACTGAAGTTGCAGAACCCGATTCTGCGGTTTCATCAACTTTTCCCTAGGCTACAAGACCTTGATCTGAAAGATATCCTGGAGAAGATACAAATACTCCAAGAAATGATGCTTCAATGTTCAGGATCTACTTGAAGTCTTCCAAGGTCAGTATTGTGATTGAAACATTGGAGTCCAAGGCCAAGGAGGTCTGCTCTTGTGGCAGTAGATTGTCTGGGTATCCAAAGACTGAAATGCCTCAGAAATGTAGAAAACCCAGAACTGGTGCAAGGACCATTGTGAACTACTCTGGGGCTGAGGCAAGGTCAAAGGGAAAGGCAACAAAAAGTGGCTATGCTACTGCGACCCCACCCTTTCAAGCGAAATGGGAAATGACCTGCGTGTCATCTTCACTGTGCCTCAAAAGAACCGAATCCTCTTCTTTGCACATAAATATCTTCCCTCTGCAGCATGTACCAAGAAAACACCCATAAAATTATCACCCGCTGGTACAGGACCCTGCAAAGCTCTTTCCCAAAAAAACTGACCGATGCTGGCTCTGAGCAACAACCAGGTACCATATTACATATCTTTTGGGAATGCCCAAAGCTTCAAACCTTTTGGCAACCTGTACTCCAACTTATTCACAAATTTACAGACATCTCCTTACAGGAAGACCCAGCTGATGTCCTTCTAAACCTTATCCCAATGTCAAGAAAACGTTACCACAAATCCCTCTTCAAATAGCTCCTTAAAGCTGCCAGGGCCTGTATACCGTGCCAATAGATACAACAGTCTGTACCCACTGTAGCTCAATGGCTTGCAAGAGTAGATGATATTGAATAGATATAGAATCTGACTGCTGAGCTCCGAGATAAATCGGAGGATCACAAAACCAGGTGGTTCTATTGGGAACTTTTTTGCGTCTCTGATGAATTCCTACAATATACCTAAATTCACTCGTGTGACTAAGAATTGTGCTACCCGCTCTGCCCTTGTTGCTCCATGCTCCCTGAGCAGACAGCCCCCGCCAAATGTTACCTTACCCTTCATCCTCCCCGCCAACTCCACCCTCCACCCCCCACAATTTTACCTTACCCCTTCATCCTCCCCTCCAACTCCACCCTCACCCCCCCTCCCCTTTATTCCCCATTCCCCTTCCTCTCTACTTTTTCCCCCCTTTCTCATACCTCTTTAATTTCACAATATACAACAAAAACCTGGTATGCCAGATGGTGGTAGGCTACCCCACATTAGACTTCACCTCAGATACCAATGACTCTAAGCGACCGTTAGAGGGACCCTTCACTAAAGTCACGGTGATGTCAGTTTGTCTAGCTACACAAAGTATTCAACCACTGATTCATGGCTTACTGTCCATTTACCACAGTATTTTTGTTCCACTATCATAGGCGATTTTGTTAATAGAGCATTACACTTGTTCTTAGATTCTGCAATTATGCAACGGTTATCCCATACTGTAATACGTGAAGTTGCCATTTTGTTTGTGTTGCATATCATTAAATACAAAAAAAAAATTGCAGAAGATCTGGAAAGATGGGAATGTTTAAATAAACATAATTTTTGGCGAATGATGCCAAGAAATCTCAGTGATGAAGGGAGAGTATGAGTGACTGAATAGATTCAGTTTTGAGAACTTATTAAGTTGTTGACAGCCTTTAAAGGAGAAGTTTACCTATTAACAAAAAATAATAAAATGCACAGACCAAATTTTATGGCAGACTGGGAACCTGGCTAGGAGGATAAAGCACAACAGACACAGAGTGGGAAGACCACAATCTATTCCCGAAGCTTCATCTGCTGAGGGAGACAGTAGCACTTGTGATCAGGAATCAAAGAGAACAAGAGCACAAATACCTCTTAAAGTCTCATAAAGAAAAGTTCATGAAGGTAAAGGAGGATCTGTGGGATACCGTCCTCACACTCTTCACAGTACATGTTCTACAAGAAACGGTCAGTAACTTGTAAGCAGAACTCTGTATGACTGCATATGTGTACTGACAGTAAAGAGCCTGCAAACAGAAAGGAACCTCTGCCCAAAGCTGATGCCCAATCCCCCTTTCCACAGTATAGGTGCAGCTGCTTGGGGGTGGAGAAGTGCCAGGACCCGCTCTGGAAGGAACACACACCAGCCAATAGCTCTTACAGACAGGCACAATGCTGGATAAAGTGAGGACTCATAAGTATAAGGAGGGTGAGGGTGCGCTCTCAACCAAACAGTCAAGCAATTAAATAGCTGGTGTCCTAACTGATCACATGTGCTGTACTCCATGGCAACTGAAGATAAAACTGAGATTAAGATGACAGCTTCCTTAGCAGTGTTGGTTTGTTGTACATCCAACCCTCTTAAGAAGGCTTTAGTTCCACTTGAAGGCTAAGTTCTGGTCAACTCCAGACTACAGGAAGGCCAGAATTTGAGGAACCAAGAAATTGTTCACACCAGGCAAAGATGGTTTTCCAGGTTCAATAATAGACCTTTCTGGAAGTGGCTTTTCTTGCTTTTATCAAAGTAGGAATGACAAACTTAGACACCTCCCTCTGTCTCTTAAGACCTGGGTTTCAACAGCTATGTCCTTAAAGCTTGTGTCTAAGAGGCAGGATGGAACAGAAGTCACTGGGAAACTAGTTCTGGCCTGCTGGAAAGAGGCCAGGGGATGCCTTCTAGGTCTGACTATGTATGTATACCAGGTCCTTTTTGGCCAATTCAGTGCAATGAGAATCACCAACTTCTCTTGCTCTATTTTGTGGAGTACATGAAGCAGAACACAAACTTGACAATTCCCCATCTGAGTTCTGGGTAATCTATGCCTCCATTCCAGGCATCTGATGCCAGTGCTAGAGGATCTTTGGAACTGGCCACAAGGAGATCCATTTGTTGTTAAATTTTGAGGCCAAGATATCCACATCCAAGGTCCCCCATCTCTGACATATCAGGTTGAATATGTCAGGGTGATGGGGCCCATTCTCCTTGATCCAGGGGGAGACCGTAATCCGTTTTCCAGTTGTCCACTGCTGGAAAGTGGACAGCAGAGATCGCTGGACAGTGAGCTTCTGTACAGGAGATGATCTGGCTTGCTTCTTCCAAGGCTGCACTCTTCCCTAGCATGAAAGGCTGACATCTTATCACTTCCCAGTAATAAGGCAGGGAAGACTTCCCTACTGTCAAGTCTGGACTAGAGATCCATGAAGCTAGAGACTTTCCTGCTTGGCTGGACAGCAGCATTCTTATTCCAGGTTGACAAAACGTTGTGCTGGAGCAGCCTCGAAAGGTGGCTACCAAGAGCCCTAGAACGGTCATAGAGAATATCACCGAGGGATGTCTCTTTCACATTAATTGCTAAGCACAAGGTGAGAGAGGAGAGAGACCATCTTCGATGTCATTTCCCTTGTCTCAGGGATGCAATAACGGACCTTGCGGATTCCTTGCAAATTTTTGAAATTTGAAGGAAGTTGAGGAATCTGAGGTCCAGAATAGGACAAATACCCACCATGGGGCTTTGGTGACACAAGAACAGACTTGAATAGAACCCTATGAACCTGCCTTGTGAAGGTACATGCACAACCACTCCCTGGGGCAAGAGATTGTCCAGGGTATTCTGCAAATCTAACTGTTTTTGGTTGATCTGAGAGAGTAAAGTAGTAAGGAGGTAGAGTTTGCACTAAATTTTGGACCCCTCGGGAAAACACCAATTGAACCCACAGGCCTGAGATATCGGTGACCCAGACAGAGGCAAACTAACAAATCCCTCCCACACACACGCACACTTACACTCTTGGGAGTGAGAGCACCCCTTCACAGGGAAGAGGGCTTTGGGGAAAATTTGTAGGGCTCTGTGGCCCAAATTCTTTCCTAATAAGCAAGGTTGAACTTAGGTGATGAAGCTGTAGCCTGAGTGGAGCAATTGGGTGCTCTGCATCTAGGAGAGGTAGAGGTTCAAAAGGAGTGAAATCTATCTCTGCTGAACCTTCCCCTCCTTTGACATTGTTCATGTGTCTCACCAAAAAAGACATCATCCTCAAAGAGCATGCATGGAGTCTTTTAAAGACCGTTTTCATTATGCAGGCTTTTAGCCATAAGATTCTGCAAAAATGAATGGAAATTAGGGCCATTCTGGCTCAGTTTAGACACGGTCTGTTGTTGGTCGCTCATTGCCCTAGTTCAGTTAGCTGCAGCTTGACAAAGAAATCACAGAAACAGTTGGCTGTGGACCTGGGCCTGCAAGAGTGAAGACAACCTTTAAGAGCATCTCAAATTTCCTATATCCACGTGATAGTGCTGACCCAGTTCTAATTCCGCTGGATCTCTCCTGGTGGCACTAGATGGATAGGAGAAAAAAAAAATCTGTGGCGATTTCAAATATTTGGACTGGTGGAGCAGCTTTGCAGGAGCCCTGGCTGCTCAGGATCATGGGAGGAAAGTACAAAAAAAACCTAGGCGGTAGGGGTGGAAGTGAGGAAGAGCTCTGGTGTTAGTTCACCCTTACAGATTTTTTGTAAAGGTGAACATTTGAAAACATCCTCATCACCCTCTGAATTAATGGAATATGGCTTCCATTTTAGTGAGAATATTTGTGCATGTTTAAGAAAAACACAATTATAGTCTGAACTCAAACTCGATGCACGAGAGAACCTATACAATATTTAGGGAAAAACACTGATCCACTTTGCTTTTCCCATTTCATTGTAAAAAAAAAAAAATTTAGACTAAGCTGTTATTTCAAGTAAAAGGACAGTCCACATGTTTTGTCATATCAAAAGCTATTTTCCCTTAAAATGTAGTAACTCATTTTTATTAATACAGTGCCTAGTCACACTTGTCCATTTTGTAACTAGCAAAACTTTTGGATTTTGCTGCATGAAAATTGAAGATCCATTTCTTGTAGGTTCACAAATATAACCAAGTGCTGTGGATACTGCAAGGGCTAAGGAAGATGTCTTTTCATGCAGGAGTCCAGACATCACATGCTCCCCTTTGCATTACCTTCCCTTACTCATCACTTTTTTTTTTTTTTTTATTTATTTATTTTAAATATTATTATTGCTATTTTGTTTTTTTCCACCACACACAGGAGTGTTCTCGACTGCGGTCTGGTACCTGACTAGCTACTGGTTAACTCAGGAAATTCCTTTTCTTAAATGAACTTGTGTATTTTAGGCTTGATGCTCCTTGTTTGTCATGTTCAATTGCTGTCGGAAAGGTACTTACTTTAAAAAGGCAGATGGATGGCTTCACCAATGCTGGTTCACCAACGTCTGCGCTATATTATTTTTTTTCTGGATATGACAAAAATCTCAACTCCTGTTTGTTTCGTTAATATTACAAATAAAGAATTTACAAAAAAACAAAAAAAAAACGCAAAGGGTAAATTCTATGAGGCCGCAAGTGCACCCCTGACATGTCTAGAAAATCACAAGAAACAGTAGTATTAAAAAATTTGCAGTACATCAACATGTAAAATGCATTAGTTACCACAATGGCAAGTAATGAATGCAACACTGTGCATACATTGAGGTGCTACTAATTTTTAATAGCGCTCCATCCAACACTGTTACAGTGAAGGATAATGCACCTGCACTACAGCACACCACAATGCACAGGTGGGTTTTTAATGCATTAAGGCACACTGACAACCCATTTAAACCCATTTATGGGCTGCCTAAATACAATGCACATTAATGTGCATGTGGTAATACACTGCAGAGGTGTGAAAAGCTGTTTTGTATGTATAACTATTAATTTAATAGCCTTTCCTGATTATCACACTTGGATTCCGCCACTGGGATGTGGCCGACACTTTAGCAGCCAGCATGCAAGATCAGCAGTCTGCACACAGGCAACCTTTGCTTACATTTTGAGTGTGCTGGTGCTAGGATGCAACCAGCACATTGAGAGCCATTCCATGTGTGCTTACCTAGTACTCGGCACTCAACAGGCTGCACATAAGGGTTAGCAGGTCACGTGTTCAGCACCAGGGCTTTATTGCTATTATTTCCTCCCTCATAACCACAACCAACATAAAAACAAAGCATGATCATTTTCTAGACAAATATAAAACACATATTTAGAACTATCATTTTAGAATTAAAAAGATGTAACCTGGTAAAATCTGGTGGAACCGGTGTAGTAACAAAAGAAGCCATGGGTTTCCTATGAACTTGCTGAAACATCATAAGAATCTCTGGACTTTTGGAGATAAGCTCACTCTTACTACAAGAACGAAGCTGAAAAACAGTAATACCAATAAAAATGATAATAATAACCATAATCACCCCCACTACCAACAACAATAAATAATGTGAAAGTATTCAAATAATAAAGTTTTTTTATCCAAAATTAAAGGAAGAAATCTTAAAAAGGGCAAATATGCAGTTGTCACCTGAAAATTTCTTTAAAAGAGAAGTTTGGGACTTAAAAAAAAAAAAAAAAAAAAAAAAAACAAACCCATTCATACTCATCAGTTCGATGCTGCAGCTGTCCCCTGTCACCTATAAGACTGAGAACTGAGGGATCAAAGACTGCTGTTAATCACTCCATTCTCAGTCTTCAGTGAGCAACAAGGTGGTGACTGCTTACTGGAGTGCCGGACTGTGGTGAGAGAAAGCAGCGGCTGGGATCAGGCTCTCAGCGGTTTGCTGAGAGGCAGAGCCAACTGCCAGTGAGGAATCTGGGTAGATCCTGACTTTATAGTCAGGCTCTCTCCAGAGCCTGGGCCAGCTCAGAGACGTCAGTTGACAGAGGATTTTAGTCCGCTGTCAGCTAAATATAGGTCACAGGAGTGCAGAAGTACACTTCTGTGACCCACAGAAGAAGCAGGGCCAAAAGAATTTTGGCCCTACTTCTCCTTTAAGGGTCCCACATTTTGGAGAGCATTTCATTAAAACATTTTCCTGGAAAATGTAGATACACTTCTGTATAGTATATTTAACTCCCTTAATAATGTTCTACGAACTTACAAAAAAAAGGGAATTTTGACTTACCTCTACATTCTATATCTTGGAGTACAGTAGAAGACAGATTACTGAAGAATGGCAAAGCTCATCAGAACATGTCCCCCGAGCATCCCCTATAACTCAGTCTATGAGTCCTCAATGTTGTAGCAAGCAATGCAAAGTAACACACCAGAACAGAGGGGAGGGGAGACCACGTCCTATACTGTACTTTAAGATATGGAATTCATATGCAGATCAAAAATCCTTTTATCTTCATTGTATAGTACAGGCTTATTATTCTTAGCCCCCGAGACATCCACAAGTAATAAATAAAAAGGCTGGGCAACAACAAGGCAAACTACTGTACCAACAGGTCTATAAATGACAACCAAAGTACAGTGGATATAAAAAGTCTACACACCCGTTAAAATGTCAGGATTATGTGATTTAAAAGATGAGACAAAGATAAATCATTTCAGACCTTTTTCCACCTTTAATGTGACCTATAAACTGTACAATTGAAAAACAAACTGAAATCTTCTAAAGCATCAGAGGTATCTCATTATTAAAAGGTATTAGCCAGAAGTGTACAAAAGAATTTCCAAGGCATTAGATATACCATGTAATTCAGTTTAAACAGTCATCATCAAGTGGAGAAAATATGGCGCAACAGTGACATTACCAAGAACTGAACGTCCCTCCAAAATTGCTGAAAAACGAGAGGTCTGGGTCTGGGAGTCTGTCAAGAAACCTACAGCAACATTAAAGGAGCTGCAAGTACTGGCTGTGTGCTACAAGTGACAACAATCTCTCATATTCTTCATATGTCTGGGCTATGGGGTAGAATGGCAAGACGGAAGCCTTTCCTTACAAAGAAAAACATCCAAGCCTGGCTAAATTTTGCAAAAACACATCTGAAGTCTCCCACAAGCATGTGGAAAAATGTGTTCTGGTCTGATGAAACCAAAGTTGAACTTTTTGGCCATAATTCCAAAAGATATGTTTGGCGCATAAACAACACTGCACATCACCAAAAGAACACCATACCCACAGTGAAGCATGGTGGTGGCAGCATCATGCTTTGGGGCTGTTTTTCTTCAGCTGGAACTGGGGCTTTAGTCAAGGTAGAGGGAATTGTGAACAGTTCCAAATACCAGTCAATATTGGCACAAAACCTTCAGGCTTCTGCTAGAAAGCTGAACATGAAGAGGAACTTCATCTGTCAGCATGACAAAGACCCAAAAGCATACATCCAAATCAACAAACGAATAGCTTCACCAGAAGATGAAAGCTTTGGAATGGCCCAGCCAGAGCCCAGACCTGAATCCGGTGGAAAATCTGTGGGGTGATCTGAAGAGGGCTGTGCACAGGAGATGCCCTCACAATCTGACAGATTTGGAGTGTTTTTGCAAGGAAGCGTGGGCAAATATTGCCAAGTCAAGATGTGCCATGCTGATAGACTCATACCCAAAAAAGACTGAGTGCTGTAATAAAATCAAAAGGTGCTTCAACAAAGTATTAGTTTATGGGTGTGCACACTTATGCAACCATATTATTGTAGTTTTTCATTTTTACTTCCCTTCACCTAAAAGGATTTAAGTTTGTTGTTCAACTGAGTTTTACAGTTTATAGGTTACATTAAAAGGTGGAAAAAGTTCTGAAATGATTTATCATTATTTTTACAGCACAGGAAACCTACATGTCAAGGGGAGGTAAAAAAAAAGTGGTTGACTAGTTAGGCTAAAAGTGACTTCCGACCACCTAAAGTAAAGTCAATCAACTCAAGGTGCACAGTATAAAGTATTTTTTAAAAAAATCAATTTAAAACGCAAAAATCAAAAAGTTCATAGAGGCAAAAATTTCCCAAACACCTCATTAGTGGGTATATGGCCTTTCAGGAAAACTGTTAATTATTGTATTGTACCTTGGCACACACACCACTAATTCCTTTTCACATGGAATACATGTCAAGGGGAGGTAAAAAAAAAGTGGTTGACGCCCTTCCGACCACCTACCTAAAGCTACAGCTTTGCACACGTTGTCGTGCTGCTTTGCATTGTGGAAAGTTTAAAGCGGCATCATGACAGGGATCACTTGGGCTATGAGCCAAAGGCTGTAGTTGTAGTGCATTAGCTCCATTGTAAATTGCTGCTTGCCAGAAATGAAAAACAAAAAGACATTCAAACAAATTCAGATTCAACAGGCAGCAGGATAATTTCCTGAATGCTCGACAGCAGCTGCTTAGCTGCACTCTGAAAAATGATTCAATCTGGATCGCTTTTCAAAAATGTGGCTAGTGTGAACCTAGCCTAAAAATGGTAGAGCACACAGTGGACCTTAATTATGAAAGCATCTGACCTGCAGCAAAGAGATTCAAACTTTCAATTTACAATTTTTGTTTGCATTTTTATATTGAATATTTTAATCTGTTTTTTTTTTTTTTGAAGGGACAATAAAGATTTTTTCCTGAAGGGAAACTGACATAATTGTGACAACGGTTGCATAATAAAAAAAAACAGTTACATTAATACAGAAGCTCACAAAAATAAATCTCAACTTCCAGGCAAAGCTTTGAGAACAATTTATAAAAAGTGGAGCAAAATTGAATGGGAATAAAAGTGAGAGATGTGCCCAGGGATGTGCAATTCCTATCGCCCAACACTCGGAAAATGTAGTGCCTGGCAGGTAGTTTTTTTGGCCTTTAGCCCTGCTGCAGGCAAGCAGCAGGGATCACCTGACAGGTGAAGCAATCAGCGGCAGCGCTGTCGCCGATTGCTTTCACACAGTGGCAGCCTCTCTGCGCCCCCGGCGTGAGGTTTCCCGGGCTCTGCCAGTTAGAAGGGAGGGAGAAGCCCCCAGTGTCAGCCTCTCCCCCGATATATGTCCCGGGCTCCGCTTGCCCATCTGCGGGCCCGAGACTGGTTCGGTGGGTGCTGCAGGATGTGGTATAGGGGAGGGAGGAGAGCGGACATATCCGCTACGCTCCCCTCCCCTTCTTTTCCTGACCCGGAGGTGATGTGACGTCATTTCCGAGTCCCTGTTCGACAGATTCCCGGTCATTGAGGCCGGGAAAGGACGTAATGCGGTGCAATGTGCACCGTATTACATTAAGTGTAGTACAGGGGAGACATGCAGGGTCTTTTAGACCCTGGATGTCTCAAAAATAGAGAACCTATCACCAAAAATCATCACATATGGGACTTTTTGTCCCATATGTGATAAAAAAAAAAAAACAGTACACATCAAAAGGTTGATTGCAATACACAGGTTACATACCACTGCGCACGCCAGAATGAGAGCAATAATTCTAGCACCAGAACTCCTCTAACACTATACTGATGACCTATAAGGTCGCCTATAAAAAATATAGGGTTACTAAAGTTTGTCGCCATTTCACAAGCGCACGCAAATTTAAAGTTTGACATGTTGGATATCTATTTACTCGCTGCAACCTCGTTTTTTATATTTTACAAAAAAATTGGATAATTTATTGCTTTTTGTGTCCTAAAATTAACTCAGTGTATTTTTTTATTGAAATTTTGTGTTTTCTAGACCTTTGTGATAATATGTGACATAAAAAATTGGAACTACCACTATTTTATTCTCTAGGATCTCTGGTTTCAGAAATATACAATGTTGGAGGGTTTGTGTAATCTTCAGGCCTAAAACGATTTTTTAAACTTGTGCAAATAACGCAAAAACAGCTCTGGCAGTGAAACTGATAAAGGATAAGCCAGACACTCCCCTTTCCTGATGAGCAGCCAATCGGTGCTCATTACACTGCAAGGTCTCTCCCCTCCCTGCTAGTCCCCGGGGACAGGCTGTAGACAGACAGGCAGGGAGAGAAGGAGGAGATAAACAGTGAAATGTTAAAAATATTAAACATTTAAGTCGCCATAAAGCCCCTTTTGTTTTTAAAAGCCCCAGAAATTACTTAAAGCAGATTTAAATACAGTTTTCGTTAAATTTATGTTTTTTTTATCATCAGGACAAGTAGATTGTCATGAGGGACAAGAAGATTGAGAAACCGATTTAGCCCCTGTACAAGTATTTTTTTTCAAAAGTTTCCACTCACACCTGTGTGCCCATAGTGAGTACATTTTTAAACTTCTGTTCCAGTTTATGTTCCCTCAGTTTTATAAAATTTAGCTCTAAAAAACCTTTCACAATTAAAAAAAAGCAAAAAAATTCAGAAGCGTACCTGATGTTCCACTTCTTGTAAAAGCGATTCAAGAAGCTCTGTTTCCTGAGTTAGAGAAGTCTTCTGGCCTAGGAATGAAAGCAGCAAAATTCTGTTATATGCAAACTTCATGCTGATAGTATTTTATTTGTGGTGTTAAACCTCTGAAAGCCAAAATCTTCCCTTTACACATCACTAAATAATAAATGCTATTCCAAATATATATGCTCAAACACCAACTATAAAACAGTTAAAGTGGTAGTAAACCCTCACACATATACACAGTGATGTGACTAAACTAAATGACACACAGATGAAACAAATCCTCCTACTAAGTTGTACTTGTTTACCTACGGCCTTCTTTTCTCTACAGCCTTTAAAAGTGCACAGTTTACACAGCATTTCTGAGCTCCAGGTGACAGGGATCTGATAGACACTACACAGAACAGAGCTGCGTGTAATCTGAGACCTGAGGGGAGGGACTGGACACACACACACCCTCCTCTACACAGTCTCAGAGAAATATGAACAGCATAAGCTGCCAATCACCTGATGTGTGCATGAGGAGGCGGCAGGGATATGTTCCAAAAAATCCCAGAGATTACATCTGCTGTCCTGCATTATTGCTAGGGTGTTGCTAAGACACATTGAGTCGTTACTGTTCACATCCACCCTCACAGGAGTGAGCACTCTAACACTGAGTTTAGAGCTACTGCATCAGGGGAGAGAAAGTGCATGTACTCAGTGGTACCTGCATTTAGGGCTCTATGTGTTCAGGAAGAAATATCTGGAATGAAGTAGACCATTGATGTAACTTTAATTTTTTACCCTTTTTTCCTCACTTAACTTCTTGCTATCACATATGGGGCTGACAGGCCCCCTAAGTGATTGCATTTTGCTTTGACAGGTTCTCTTTACTTGAACATCAGGGGTCTTTTAGACCCCTAATGCCTACCCTGCCCTCTACTGAAGCCAACAGACCACAGATTGGGCTTCATTAATTTCTTCCTGGAACTCGAAGTGACAAAATACATTTTGTTTCCAGTTTTTTAGTAGCTAGCGGAGATCAGTGAATGGACCTTCACTGCTTTTCTTCCCCTCTACCCGGCAACTCCCACCATCTGGGTACCAAGCCCGCAGGAGAGGGGGGGTGCAATAGTGTGAAGGTGACTCAAACCAAATTTATGGGGCTGTTTTTGTACAAGGGTAAATGCAACTTTTAACACCCTCAAAAATGTAGAATATCAAAAAGAAGACATATACAAGCATGGCACAAATAGAATTGCTCGAGAGAATTGAAACCAGGATCCAAGAGCTACAAGATGAAAATTCTAACATCTCAGTCAGGCCTTTACAATCTATAGACAAAAGCAAGTTGTTCTTATCAAATCTGCACGCATCTGCATGGCTCCTTTTACTGCTTTCTTTTAAAGAACCATATTTGAATCTTTGATTACCCATAAGTGTAATAAGCTTGTTCTTAAGCTGGGTATCCAATCTCGCAATCATCATCTCCACAGCATTGCGGATCTCTCTAACACGTTCATCCTTAGCACCTCGTACAGCTTCAACGTTTCGTTCCTACAACACAAAACATTTAAGAATATGAATTTTTTTTCGTTATTTAGGATAACAAATTCAGACCTATGCTTACTGTATTTCTGATAACAAATCTTACAAAGCTCAAATTCATCTTGAGCATATCTGTACAATAAATTACTTCCCAATTTAGTGAAGGTATATTCACTAAACTGGTATATACAACTCACAAGCAGTTTTGTTTCTCAAAGTTTCTAGAAGAAAAAAAAATAAAAAGATTTTTTATTGTACTCACTGTAAAATGCTTTTCTTGGAGTTAATTGAAGGATACAGCAGAGATCTTGATCTCTGAGAATACAATATGGCTCCATCTTTAAGAGTAGGACATTAAGCAAAAAGCAACTGGAGAGGTGGGTGTTGGTGTGGGTGTTAGAGAATAAAAATATTTTACAATGGCTACAGAATAAATAGTGCCTTCTCTTACGCTCATTTAAGGACGCAGCAGAGATATTAACCTCTGACCACTGGGACTCCCAAAAGCAGCATTTACCAAAAGGTGGGAAAACGAACAAAAATGCCAGAAAACAGATACAAGACTTCCCCATATAAGAGGGCCCCTGGACTGAGTGATGGCAAGGGCCAGTTCCTTGGAATACGGGGCCTTCCCCTATAACCCCACTCCACTCCAAGAATCCTCATTTTCACAGGCAAGTCAAAATTCTTCTATTCTTAATTGTAAAGTACAGAACACAGGGTAAGTATTCATAAAATCTGGGGTGTCACCAAACAATGAATGAAGTGTGGGCAACAACTACTTAAGACAGAACGGTAACTAAAACAAAACAAGGGTCAACAGACCCAACTTTAGAGGGTCGCTGCAAGACCCTTGTAGCCAAAAGCTGCAACCTCAGAACACTGATGTCCACCTAATTTGATTTTGAACAGAAGACCAAGTGGCTGCCTTACAAAGCAGAGCTACAGAGGCCCATTGTTGGAATGCCCAGGAAACTCCCACCAACCACATGGAGTGAGCACGTAAAAGGACAGGAGGAGATTTGTTTTGGAGCAAGGCATTAGGATGGAATGACTGTCTTTGTTGAGGTGCAAGAAAACCACCTTAGGAAAAAAGGTGCACGGCTACCTTATTGTGAAGAATGCCTCCCATGGCTTGTAAAAACACATCTCAACTATAGGGTTTTACCACCCTTGAAAGCGCAAAAGTAAACAAGCCCTTATGGTTCTGAGCCCCCTACAAGGCTGCTTTACACTGATTCACCGGTGCAGCACAGTGTGAACCTGCGGCTTTCCTGCAGGTTAGCTGTGATTTGCCATAGATTTCTATTATATCTTGCATATCTTTCTGAAAGCACACCAGTCCTGCATTCAGGAACTTTGGTGTGCTTTCAGAAAGCACACCAAATCTGCAAGGTATGATAGAAGTCTATTGCAAATCACAGCTAACCTGCAGGAAAGCCACAGGTGCAGTGCGCTGCACTCGTGGATCAGTCTGAAAGCAGCTCAATAGTTGTTAACCCTTTTATAGGTGCTAACATGCCTACTACAAAAGTGCAGTGCATGTGTTTAATACACTGACCTACTTTTCCTCTTCTAGCATCACCCTCCAGGCCACTAGAAAGGCCCAGGCCAAGGACACTTGTCATCACTCTGCCTGGGACAGGAGCTGGCACAACAGAGGAAGCATCTGCTTATGTGGCTCCTGTTCCCTCCATGGCTGCCTGCTTTCTCTGATGCTGGCGACCTGGCTCAAAGCACTCATACTGTAGAATAGCGGGTCGGCATGTCCAGATCACAATCAACAGGTTGAGACTCCATGCATGCGCATTGCGCACCCCTGTTGTAAGAGCTCTAGGCAGAAGTGGTGATAAAGTGTGCGGTGTTCGGTGCTGTAACACCTGGTCATCAACTCGACGCTAAGCTCTGAATTGATGAGATTAACTCAGAGTTTGAAAAGTTTACGCTATCAAGTGAAAACATGCCAAACACAGCCTTGTTTTCACATAAAACAGAGACCCAGGGTGACCCTGTTTACATGTCCACAACGCTGGACCCTATATAGAGTCCAGGCTTTGCTCGTCATAGTGGGCATACCCCCTGAAGGGATCTTCAGGGTCAGGGTTCCAAAGGAATGGATCATGGCCCTAGACCTGGAAAGCAACCTGTGGCAGACTACCCAACACATTTCACAAAGTGTTTAGGTAAGCAAAATCCAGTGTCGAAACAGGATCCAGTGTCCGTTCAGGTACAGCTTCCAAGGCTTAACATAGGTTGCACCGATCTGGATGCAATACTTCTACTGTTGTAAATGCCGATTCAGACGCATTGCAAAAAAAAGTCAGGGTTTGCCAAAGAGTTTTTCCTGGGGTAATACAATGATAGAGGGACAGGGTTCTTCAGATGACCATGTAACTGCACCAAAAGGCATGCCTGCCTGTGAACAGATATGAGGGCTTTTGGCAAGACCTGTACACTCAGCAGCATTTAGTCAGTCAGAATGTGCGCCAACAATATTCACCCATTAAATCATCCAATTAATCCCAATGGCAAAGGTCTAGGAATGTAGCAAGAGTAGCATGGGTCCAGTGCCTAAGAGAGCACTCAGAAGACCAGCGACGGCAGGGATAGAAAAAAAAAACCCAGAAGTGCTAGCGGTCCACAGTAATTTCAGTAGGCATTAATGCGCTGGAAAAATCAGACCTAGGGAATGATGGCAGAATATAAGGTCCAGAATAGGACACCAAGAGGGGGTAAATACCCCCATATGGCTGAAAAACTGCAGAAAATTGCAGTAAAACCCTCTAAAACAATCCACAAGAACAGAGACAACAGCTTCTAAATCCAAAAATCCACAAAAGTTGGATGCAGATTACAAGGCAGTGTGGAGACAAAGACAGGCAAAAAGGACAAGCAACAGGAAGGGAGCAAAGAGCAGAGATCTATCTATAGACATGCAACCATGTCCTGACCCAGGTGATGCTCACAACCAGAGGTTTACAAGGAATAAGAAATGATTCCTCACTGAAACAGGGGCATCGAAGCAAGGCGAAGGGGGACTGTCTTGCCTGGAGAATGTAGAGGCCCAGGATTCTTATCCTTCATAGGGTTTATAGAACCCCTGAATTCCTCTGTGCTACAGGCTACCACAGTCCTAGTCTGTGATAGATGTGGCAGCCCTGGCTCTCATTCATCTCTTATCACAGTACCACGAATTCCAGGAGTATCAGGCAAAGGTAGTAGGTACACTTAATGGGCTTTTAGAGGTGAATCTATCCATTAATCCACTTGCATATCTACTGGCTATATTGATGACTCCTCTTCTGAGCTGCCTCTGCTGACCACTGTAGCAAGTGCTCTCTTTGTGGTCCGCAGACAAATTGCCCTTAAGTGAACCTCCCCACATCCTCCAACCCTATCTTACTAGATATCTGACCTTTAACAAGTGTACCCAAAACACACCTACTTTCTTTCATTGCGAAAGTCTAATGCAACTTGATCATATTGGCTTGAGTATATGTGCCCTATACTGGGGTAGGCTCCCTGCCTCTTAATACAAGATTAGGGGTCTTTTTTTTTTTTTGCTTTGTCATCTTTTTCTACACCAGTAGAGGCACCAATGGTATAGGATGGAGATAACCACTAATCCTCTTGCAAATGTCCTGTCAGGGGTGACAGCGTGCCGCTGGAAGGCTTTGTTTTAATACAAGTTTCACATAATATGCTAGCATTGCCTTGAAGGAGGAAAGGTTTTTTTTCCCAGCTTTATTACCACTTTAAAAGTAGAACTACAGGCAATTTATTTTTCTTCATTATGGATAGACTAAGGGAGGGTTATAACTCCTGTCATTTTTTTGCCATCTGTGTTTCATTGGGGAAATTTACCTTCACTTCTTGCCATGTATCCAAAACAGGAAGTGAGGAAATCGCTGCAAAATAATCTCAGGGACCACCAGGCCACCAGAAAGCATGTTTCTTTTAGAAGATTTCCCATCTATTACTTTTCTTGGGACAACCCAAAATTTGGGATTTTCTTATACTTTCAATGACATTGGTAAAACAGGGAAAAAATAGAGAAAGTGAATCTTCCTAACAGGGGCACAGACGGCAATAAAAAACCTAATGGGTGTTCTAATCCATCTGCACTCTGTCCAAAATAAGTTTTGCCTTTAGTTATACTTTAAGATTTTGGAATTCTTCCCAGACAGGAAAGGTACTGGTAAGCTGACCAGTCTTTGCTTTGAACATAAACCAGACATAGATCTGTACTGTTTTGAGGCATGTAGATGGATAGTGAGAGACCATCATCATTTGGTCATCAAAAACTCAGCAGCCTACTACGAGACACAACTGCCGTTTGTGCGGACCTGCTTAAGTCTGGACTGGAAATAATGCTAAGACAACCATTTTTGTAACCCATGGCCTATACCCAAGATAAGGTTACTTTTCATTCATTTTATTCACCGTAATTCACCAGCACTATATCAGGAGGTCTAACATGAGCCTGTAAGGAATATTTGTAGTATATAGGGGACCTAACATGAACTTGTGTAGAATATTTGTTGCATACATTACCTTTACAGACTTTGTTATTTTTTTATTTTACACACCTCAAATCATACAAATCCAAAACAGGTTCATGGCTACATCTTATGCTGGCCAATTCTTTTACAAAACTGGCTGACAATTTTAAAAATAATTGTATTTCCAGGATAGTGCGGACATACTTTTTATATACATCAGCCCCTATCACACTCTTATACACACCAAGATCAAATTAGTTTTTTTTTTTTCCCAAGTTTTTAAAAGAAACACATATCTAATTTCCAATCACCCATTCATAGCGCTTGTTATTTTTTTTTTTTTTGCAAATGTACAAGCCAATAGACAGTTCTGCAATAACACTATGAAAAAGCGGTCAATTGAAAAGCTTTAAACAAAATGCCACACACTTGTGCAAGAAAAATGAACAAACTGATATAAACATAGGTTACTCAATGGTAATTAGCAAAGAGAACATGCATAAAAAGGACACAAGCAGTGACAACTGTGGGACAGTTTGACTTCCTACAGTATTTTTATTTGTAATTTGATGTAAAGAAAAGAAAAGAAAAAAAAAAAGTACACGTTCTTTGGAAGAAACTGCATTAGCAGTTTGTTACTTAGGTACATTTCTTAATAGTTCACTGAATTACTGTGATATTTATTTTTTTTAAATGTTAGGAAAGGATGGACAGGATTACACAGTCCACTCACTGTACATGATAGATGTTCAGTCACTAATAGTAAACCTGTATTGCAGTATAATGAAATCTTACCACTTCCTGCACAAGACTAATGAGTTCCATTAGCCGCCGACGGAGTTTGGCCACCTCTTCATTTACTTTTGTGACATGCTGCTCATAAATTTCAGCAAGTGGCTTGAAAGTATGCCCTCCATGCTTAAAAAAAAATAAATGAATATATATTAAAAAAAGATTTAAGTCATTTGACATCATACACCTCTTTCTCCCAAACTTATATCCATTTGTTTACAATTAAATAACTCCAATAATCACACAATCCACACTTAAATTTCCAAAGAAAGAACTTTGATTCACTAAAAAAAGGGAAAATTTGCTAAAAAATTTGGTCTACAATGGCCTCCTGTTCTATTAATATAACCACAACAGAATCCTCATTCAAGGCCGTTGTGATGGTATATGGCACTGTCCCAATTAGCACATCTTCATCTGTCTCTTCCTGGAACATGCTTCTGTTGTTGCCCTGCCTCGGGAGATGTCTTGCATACATAGTGGACTTATCTCACATGCTTGCAAGGTTTTGGACCAATGTTTTCAAACTCCTGCAATCTGTTTAATTGTTCCTTCCCTAGAGATCCCTGGTATGTTCTACTCCATCTTAAACCTCCAGGTCTCACCAAGTCTCAGTTTAAACTAATGACCTATGTTCTGTTTAGTGGCAAAATAGACTATAGAAAAATCAAGGAAAAAAAAGTATTTACTTTGCAGAAGTTGGCCAATGTGTTGACATTTCTTTCCGTGATGGAAAAAAAAAAAAAAAAAAAAAAAAAAAAAACCACAAACTTTGTTCTTTTGGACACATACAAAACATTTCCAGTGATATAGACTCTGCGGATATAATACGCCCATCCTTTAGATGCGTAGCTCCAAGGTCCTGGCTTGGGTGTCTCTGTTGTCCTTCTTCACCTCTCCCCACTTTTCTCCACTTCTACCCCTCTCTGATACCTTTTGTGACATTGTGAGGCTTTGCCATGGTTTAAAACAGATATAATAACGATAAAGGGTTTGCACTAATGTAGCGTGCAGGGCTCCGAGGCGTTTAATGTAAGTGAAGGCAATTAGCGAGTCCAGGGGATTTGAGGGATTCTGTACGTTTCAGAAGAGTGAGAGAGCCCAGGGTAGAAGGAGAACCCCTATCTAGAGGCCAGATGGCTATGCTACCCTTAGGTTCTCCTGTAAAGCAGGAAGTGAGGAGAGCCAGAGACTGCACTGGAGTAGTGAAATGGAGCTCGGTAGGTGTTTAGGGACAGGGGAGCATATAGGAAAGGTAGGGGGCATTTTTTTAATGTATTGAGGTTAAAAGCATTTAGGCTTTGGAGCCCCTTTAACAATGGCAATTGTGAATGGAGTTGGGGAATGACACTGATTCCGCAAGCCCCCACCCCCATTTCAACATGCATTTATCACAGAGCATATACTCAAATTACACATTAGAAGATATTAAGAGACCAATCATTGTCAAAGGCTTTTTACTTAAAAACAAACCACTTATTATTAGATTAAGGAGGAAGGCAAAACTGTGCTTCACTGCACTGTAATTATTAAAAACTGTCCAACTCTGTTATTCCCAGACAGCTGAATTTGGGCTGACAGTACATCTCTAAACACTGCAGAATTCATCTGACTGCTTCTATCACATCATCAATAAACACCAATGACCCAGTGCCACTGGAAGCCATGCATGACGATGCCATCACACTGCCTCCACCATGTTTTACAGATGACGTTGTGTGCTTTGAATCATGAGCTGTTACAAGCCTTCTGTACACTTTTGTCTTCCCGTCATTCTGGTACAGATTAATCTTAGTTTCATCCGTCCAAATAATGCTTTTCCAGAACTGGTCTGGCTTTTTTAGATGTTTTTTGGCAAAGTCTAATCTGGCTTATCTATTCTTCAGGCTTATGAATGGTTTGCATCTTGTGTTGAACCCTCTGTATTTGCTCTCGTGAAGTCTTCTCTTGATTGTAGACTTTGACAATGATACGTCCACCTTCTGGAGAGTGTCCTTTGCTTGTCTGGATGTTGTGAATGGGTTTTTCTTTACCATAGAGAGGATCCTGTGATCATCCACCACTGCTGTCTTCCATGGACGTTAATGCCTTTTTATGTTGCTGCGCTCACCAGTGCGTTCTTCTTTCCTCAGAATGTACCAAACTATTGATTTGGCCCCTCCTAATGTTGCTGCTTTCTCTCTGATGGATTTGTTTCGTTTTTTGAAGCCTTACAATGGCCTGTTGCAGTTACATGAACAGCTCCTTTGAATGCATGATGTAGGTTCACAGCAATAGATTCCAAAGGCAAATACCACACTTCGAATCAACTCCAGATCATTTACCTGCTTAATTGATGAAGAAATAACAAAGGAGTGGCCCACACCTGGCCATGAAACAACTTTTGATTCAATTGTCCAATAACTTTTAGTCCATTGAAAAAGGGGGATGGCTACTATTAATAGCTGTAATTCCTAAACCCTTCCTCCAATATGGATGTACATACCCTCAAATTAAATCTGAGAGTGTGCACTTTCAGCCCATATCCATTATATAACTATAGCTTGAATATGTTTTGGTAAATACCTGAAAAAAAACTAAAATTCTGCCTGTGTCCAAATATATATGGACCTAACTGTATGTATGGATGTCCTAAGCTTTATTATACCATTGAGAGCAAGTGCCTTAACAAAAAACAATTTGTAGTGGTACCAGCACCATACTAGCCAACAAACAAATTAAAAGTTAGTTGAGAAAATTATAATTAGCACAACTATATTTAGGCATACTCACCATTCCACCCCAGAGAGCACACTGATGACAGATACATATTTTACAAGTCCAACAAAATACACTGAGCTTTTCATGATGGTTCTCACATCTGAAATGACATTAGGACAAGTGTTTTATTAATGCATTACAACTCTCTTATATGTTGAAAACAGGTCTTTTACTGACAGCCCAAACAGGAAGTACTTAACTACATTGCTGCTGTTGTTCTAACCTGTAAGTTTTTTAGTATTATTTTTGCTGGCACTGGAGTATAAGTTTAATTTTCACTGGGACTATAGAGGAGTCTGATGTAGTATGATGTTATACCCAGTAAAATAAGGGTCTTACAAATAGAAATGTTCAGAAGCAGATGTAATGATTACGGATATGAAAATATAACATACAAGCTGGTGATCAATGTGTTATTTCTGTGAGGAAAAAGAAGTGTGATGGGTGCAGATGTTTGTCTGGAACTGGTGTGGTATCCTCTATTCAGTAGTTGAGGGCATGTAAGCATGTAGGGGTAAAGTATACAGAATAATGGTAAACATGTACTTCAAAAAAGTCATACAGGGCACCAAATATATTTGGGTAAAAGTAGGGGTTAAGCACACAAGATGAGCTGTTTCAAGCAAATGGAGATATTAATTGCAACAGATGATGCCCTGATATCACCATAAAGTCTTGGGAGGAAGAACACTGAAGATACACCAACATTGTCAGTAAACAGGTTCAGAGATAGGGAGTTAAGAGGTCAGGTTTTAAAACTAGACGAGGCGATTGCTACCAGTCTAGATCAGGGGTACTTTTTGATCTAAAAGACACAAAGAAGAACACTGACATCCCACTGTGACCCAAAAACAGATTACCACAATATCAGCAAAGCCAAACAAAGATAATTAATAACAGCCATAAGAAACATTGCAGATACACTTCAGCATTCCTATAAACGTGCACTTGTCCCCCATACGCATGTGCTATCAATCTTATATCAGTGTATTTCACAGGTTTTGTGAGAAGAAATCGTATCATGGGCAGAAAAATGTATCACATTCCCACCCCAGAGAGAAACAAACACTCTGTGATATATTAAACAGCATGGTTCTTGGGCAGTGTTTCAGATTGCAGTAGAATACAATTCGGAAATTTACATAGAAAACGTTAGCTAGGTCACCAAACATTTCACACCTGTGGTTCCAATACAGATACAATCACCTCAAGCTTGTCCCAATATGCCAATTTATTTATGGCTGAAAAGCATGCAACAAAAACCATAGATACTATCGATATATTGATATTTTCATCATATGGACAGAAGGTGAAGAAAATCTAAAACAATTTTAATCATTGATCAACATTTTTCACCCATCAAACTAAAAATGGAATACTCAAAACACACATCAACTTCCTAGACCCCACAGTAGACATCAGGGATGACAAGCTTCACATCTTAATATACAGGAAACCCACTGACAGATGCAACTAGCTCCACAGCTCTAGCTTTCATCCCCAACACACTAAATGGCCCATCATACGTCAGGCCATTAGATGCCACCAAATATGTTCAGACCCGAAAGAGAGATAAACATCTCAGGACACTAGCAAACTCCTTCCATAAGAAAAGGTTACAAAGGACAAAACTATCAACTCCAACATAAACACAGCCTTGAAAACCCGAAGAGAAAAATCTACTCCAATACAAAGAGAAAAAAAACAAACAAACAACCATGTACCTCTAGTAACCACATACAACCCAGCACTAGAAGGAATAAGAAAAATAATCAAAGATTTACAACCCATCATAATAGAAGATGGAACTCTGAAATAAATACTCTAGAAACCCCCAATACTGGCTGACAACTCTCCAACCTCAGACAAACTAATTAGTAGGAAGCTTCCTTCTGATTATGATGTCACAAATAATGGAAGCAAATCCTGCACTAAAAAAAAAACGCAAACTGTAAAAACAAATTATTCAATCAAAGAGTGTCAGACTCTCAAAAGGGATCTTATCACCGGATTACCGTATACAGCTGCACCTCCAGTAATGTTGTGTACCTTATCCAGTGTAAAAAATGTAGCAAAGGATCTTATATTGGTGAAACAGGACAGAAGTTGCAAACAAGCATGAATTTGCACAGACATACCATCAAGGAACATAAAGATTATGTCTTCTGCACACCTGTGGGACACCATTTCAACCAGACCACACTATGGAAGACCTCAATATCTTAGTTCTTAAAAGGGAATTTCAAAACTATCCAGGAAAGGAAAACTTTTGAACTAAGAATGATATTTCTATTTAATACAAAAGATCACGGCCTTAATTTGGACATGGGATTCATCACTCATCATGCAACAGTTTCACCCTTGTCCCAACACCCCCCCCCCCCCCAGTCTTTGCTTTTGCTCTGTCTTATCTCTAGTCTAATCTTAGTTTTATAACCATCCTGTGTACATTTGTTTGTGGGGGGGGGGGGGGAGTTTCCCCTAAGATTGTTTCTTTTAACATTCTAAAACTTGAGAAGTAGTACTGCTTGCACCTTGAAGAAGGGGACATACCCCGAAAAAGCTTGTCCTGCAAATTGTATGTTAGTGCTAATAAAAAAAAAGTATCACAGACAGTACTTGTTTCTGACACTTGGGACAAGCTAAGCTACATTTATTACACGGTCATGTGGTGACCAATCACAAACACCTCAGAGACTCGATTTGGGTTCACAGCCGGGCCAGTTCAAACAAACCACATGCAGTCCAGTTTTCTGCATCAAAAACACATGGATAGTAGGCTATATGGTTTCCAATAGCATAGTTCAAGCCAGTGTGGTCAGTTCCAGTGCGTTTCAGTTCCAGAAAGAAAAAAAAAAAAAAGTAGAACCTGCTGCATTTTTTCTGTACTGAACTATACTGGAACGCAGTAAAAGGCATACAAAAATGTACCAACAATGCGCTGGAACACATCTCCTTATTACAATGAAGAAAAAAAAAAAAGGGAAAAATTAACAGGAATGCATCAAAAACACGCACGCAGAAATGCATCTGTACTGCATTCCTATGGTGTGAACTGGCCCTTAGGGACACTGTTGTGAACGTTATGTTATGAAGTAAGCCAGGTGGTCGTATTGAACTTCCACACCCACAGACCAAGATTATGCTGTTCCTAAGGAAGGAAGTTGTAAGGGTTGCACGAACTTCTCCAATACCCCAAAATGAAAACATTAACACTGCTAGTAAGAACCCCAGTCACCAAGCATCATCCTGGGAAATGCTAACAGAACTCTCATACAAAAGGGCACAAATAAGGAGCACACAACTACTGCTGCATCACTTGTCTTCTCTTGGGAGAGATTCGAATAACAGGACTAGAAACCACTGCATGCATGGCTACAGATCTAAATAGCACTTGGCACCTACCATAAAGCTACATCCTAAATTTAGAGTTTCTCATGAGATGTGAGTAGATTAAATTGGTGTTACTCAAACAGAATCCCTTATAACTTTCAATGACATATCTATGGGATATTATCACACCTTCTTTTTTCCCCCCCTTTACTAGTATAAACGAGAGCATAACAATTGCTGACGCTAGATGCCATTGAAACTAAGTGAGATATCGGATATAACTATTCCACATACTTATCCTTCTCGTTTTCCTCATGCTTGTTAAGACTGCACAACTGTAGTGTGTCCAACCGTTGGGTAACCTCTTCTGCCCACCGACAGTTAACCAATTCCCTTAGTTGCAATGGAGCCCTGGAAGGAAAATTAAATAATAATGAATGTGATATGACAATTGTATAGTGCAATTTACAAAAGGGGGAAAATATTAATATTAAAAGGCCATCACTGATTTTCTTTATTGTATATATAAACATTTTAACACAAAGTGCTGGTTCACATATATGCGGATTGGATGCGGTTTGAACCGCATCCAATCCGCGTGACGTGAAATAACATTGCTTCCTAGGATTCTTGTTCACATACAGTGAGGAACAGAAGTATTTGAACACCCTGCAATTTTGCAAGTTCTCCTACTTAGAAATCATGGAGGGGTCTGAAATTCAGGTTGTAGGTGCATTCCCACTCAGAGACAGAATTTAGAAAAAAAAAAAATTCAGGAAATCACATTGTATGATTTTTAAAGAATTTATTTGTCTTGCACTGCTGAACATAAGTATTTAAACACCTAAGAAACAGCAAGAATTTTGGCTCTCAAAGACCTGTTACTGTGCCTTTAAAAAGTCCACCTCTACTCCACTCATTAACCTAACTTAGTAGCACCTGTCTGAGCTCTGTAAAGACACCTGTCCACCCCACAGTCAGTCAGACGCCAACTACTACCATGGGCAAGACCAAAGAGCTGTCAAAAGACACCAGAGACAAAATTGTGCACCTCCACAAGGCTGGAAATGGCTACGGGGCAATTGCCAAGCAGCTTGGTGAAAATAGATCAACTGTTGGAGCAATTGTTAGAAAATGGAAGAGGCTAAAGACGACTGTCAGTCTCGCTTGGACTGGGGCTCCATGCAAGATCTCACCTCGTGGGGTATCACTGATGATAAGAAAGGGGAGGAATCAGCCCAGAACTACAAGGGAGGAGCTGGTCAATGACATGAAGAGAGCTGGAACCACAGTTTCAAAGGTCACTGTCGGTAGAAACACTACGCCGTCATGGTTTCAAATCATGTATTGCACAGAAGGTTCCCTGCTCAAGCCATCACATGTCCAGGCCCATCTGAAGTTTGCCAATGACCATCTGGATGATCCAGAGGAGGCATGGGGGAAAGTCATGTGGTCAGATGAGACCAAAGTAGAACTTTTTGGTCTAAACTTCACTCGTCGTGTTTGGAGGAAAAAGAAGGATGAGTTGCATCCCAAGAACATCATCCCTACTGTGAAGCATGGGGGTGGTAACATCATGCTTTGAGGGGTGCTTTTCTGTGAAGGGGACAGAACAACTGCTCTGTATTAAGAAGAGGATGAATGGGGCCATTTATTGTGAGATTTTGAGCAACAACCTCCTTCCCTCAGTCAGAGCATTGAAGATGGGTTGTGGCTGGGTCTTCCAACATGACAACGGCCCGAAGCACCCAGCCAGGATAACTAAGGAGTGGCTCCGTAAGAAGCATATCAAGGTTCTGGAGTGGCCTAGCCAGTCTCTAGACCCAAATCCAATAGAACATCTTTGGAGGGAGCTGAAACTCCGTGTTGCTCAGCGACAGCCCCGAAACCTGACAGATCTAGAGGAGATCTGTGTGGAGGAGTAGGCCAAAATCCCTGTTGCAGTGTGTGCAAACCTGGTGAAGAACTACAGGAAACGTTTGACCTCTGTAATTGCAAACAAAGGCTTCTGTACCAAATATTAACGCTGATTTTCTCAGGTGTTCAAATACTTCTGTTCAGCAGTGCAAGACAAATAAATTCTTTAAAAATCATACAATGTGATTTCCTGAATTTTTTTTTTTTTTTTTTAATTCTGTCTCTCAGAGTGGGAATGCACCTACAATGTGAATTTCAGACCCCTCCATGGTTTCTAAGTGGGAGAACTTGCAAAATCGCAGGGTGTTCAAATACTTCTGTTCCTCACTGTATGTCTGGTGCAGATTCAGTGAGATTTGAAAAAGAATCATGTACGTTTTCTGAGCAGTGACTTCAGGTTCAGGTGTGGATTACAGGCCACTGACCATAATAGAAACCATGGTGTTTCCACTGATAGATTTCTATTATGGTAACTATATGGTATCATGGTTTCTATTATGGTAACTATATACTCCAGCCATTCATCTTTTTGATGCTTTTTAATAGTTTGATTCAAAAAAAGGTTTGTTCATTCTAGAAGCCAAACCACTGTAATTGTTTGAATATCGGCCAATCGGTAATGGCCATACATTGTGAATCTGCAGTTATTCACCCATATGATGCTGATTATCTACTAAGAAGGTATTAATCAAGTACTTTACTCAATGTCTTTTTGAAGCCACTTGGTTGTTATTTAGGAATCATTTTGAAGCAGGAGATTTATGACAGAAACATAGTTATTTCAGGGACTTCATGTACTCATTGTTCATTCATTTATTTATTGTCCAGGAGTTTTGCTACACAAGCCTTTACTACCTTATTAGAGGAATTGAAAAGGACACAGATTCAAATATGGAAGATTTACTTATACCTGGATTCTCTACATGGACTTTTCATTAATGAATACAGAAGTAGTCTTTGCCTATTCTATCTAGTTCATTAGTCATTCACGCAGCTAAGTGGAAAACGCAGAACGTTTCTTGGTTTTATTTTTTATGATTGAATACTGTTCATCATGATGTAATGTCTACCTTTTCATGATCCATGTGATCTTAATAAATACTATTTGCATTCATTAATTTAGTAATCATTACCCCCACATAGGATTTGTAATATACCACTTTATGGCAGGTCTGCTCTTGTCAGCTGCTAATTTCTTTTGATATGTTATTTGGTTTAAAAATCCACACACTATACATTGGGTGAGTCGGGGACTATTTCTGATATGGTGATTACACCTAATTTCAATGGCATTTTTTTCTTTATATTTATCTCTGTCCCCATCATAGTTGATTAAAAACAAAGGAAATTTTATCGTGGGACTTTTTAGGTATGAACAAAGGAAGCTAAAAACATAATATATTGGTTCCACAAAATCAAATTGACAATAAATATTGCAACATAATAGTAGTCCTGGTGATTAATTTTAGCTTTAGGTAGATACTCGCACATGTATCGCCTCCTAAAGCTTCTCCAGGGAGATTGACTACATTAAAATATAAATTCAACCCAAAAATCATCAGGTGTTCAAGAGGACCATATGCTATCTTGTGTAAAACTATTAATCAAAGTCATGAAAAAGAACAATGTGATGAAAAAAATACAAGGTTGCACCAGAACTCTCAGGGTAGTAAGTCCAAGCGGTGTATATGCGCACCGCAGGAGAGCCACTAGGAGCTGCCCACCAAAGTTTAACACAAACGTTACTCAGTATGACTGAACTTTGATAAGGACTGGGTTGGAAACCTAAAGAAACTGCTTGGATACGCAGCAAAAGGTCTTTAAGCTTACAGAACAAGTCCAATTGAATGTGACTAAAACTACTAGCTATGCCATAACCTTGATAAAAACGAGAACCTTCACAAACTGGTTGGAGAAAGGACCTTTACTTACCTGCAGTGTGGACACTGAGCTCTTTGTTCAGTCAGCCATCTCTGTAAAAAAAAAAAAAAAAAGAAAAAAAAAATTTCAATACATACTTGTAAAATCCTTTTCTTTAATTACAGTGCAGGACGCAGGTCTTCAAATCATAAGGGATGGGTTATATGCCACACCTTCAGGTGACTGGACACTGGCAAAGCAACTCTAAGCTTTAAAGCGGTAGTAAACTAGTGGGGGAGTTTTCCCCTGCAAGACAAAGGCTTACTGTAATGTGCTAGTATGCTAACACATTATGTGAAACGTACCTTAAAATGAAGCCCTCCAGTGGCGCACTGTCAACGCTGACAGGGCTTCCATCTTCACTTAGTCCTTCTTCCAGGTTCGCAGGCTCCGGCGGCTTGAATGGCCAAGCCGCCATGACATCACTATCACGCGCGCGCGAGTCACATTTTAGGACACACAGCCCTGAAAGAACGGCATGGGCATGCCATTTGTTCAGAGCACATGCGCCGCTGCTCTACAAAGGTAAATATCTCCTAAACAGTGCAAGTTTAGGAGAGATTTGCAGTACCTACAGGTAAGCCTTATTATAGGCGTACCTGTAGGTACAAGTTAAAAAACAAACTTTACTACCACTTTAACACACGCTCACATAACCCAACTACCATGCAAGCCTCAGTTTTCTAGTAGGCAATATTGGGACCAAAGTCACAGAGGGGAGCGATCCTGTGCTCTACACTGTTCACCAAAAAAAGGATTTTACAGGTACATAAAAGAAATATATCATACAGTACAGGACACAGTTCCTCAAAGCATAATGAATAGGACTTACCAAAGCAGTAAATAAGGGGATGATACCATGACAACCAAAAACCTACCAACAGTCTCAAAAAATAAAGGCCAAAAACAAACTATTTGAGTATCAGCATGTAATATTTCTTAATTACTAGACAATTTTTCCATTTTCACCCCAGTGATGGTTATAATGGCAATTATGGTGTCATTCAACATTGTACCCAAAATTAGTATTATATATATTTTTTTTTAGACTGACAGAGACTTCTTTTGGTGGTATTAAATAGTTGCTGGGATTTTTTTTTTTAATAGCAAAGAAAAAATACCAAAACGTTTTGAAAAAAAGAAAAAAAAAAAAAAAAAAAAAAAAAAAGAAGAAGAAGAGAGAAGAAAAACATCCCGTTTCTCTGTGAAAAATAAAAGTGTCAGAATAGTACAAAACGCCTTTCTGGAAAGTAGACACCCGAAGGTGATCTGATTTTGGCCACAATTTTTTGTGAACAGCACTGAGTAAATTAAGGGCCGCCAATCCCCCGTTGAAAAACATATGCAAAAAAAAAAAAGGGTAAAGAACACTTCCACTTTTGCGGCCAAATTGGGATAACACCTACTTTATATTTGTAACATGCCCCCACCATTTGTGATTAAAGAGGAACTTTTACTTGATTTTTTTTTTTTGCTTTTTAAATCAGGTAGAGCACTGGGGTATGGGGTCCAGCACTATCTTCACACAGCCGGCTCTCCTTACCACAGCAGATCCCTTCCAGAGGAAGAGTAGCTGGCTTCCTAAAGCACATGCTTGACCTTCCACAACTCTTTTGTGAATATGCAGGGATTCCAGATGCTGAGATCGTTCCAAAACCAACTTCTGTTAATTGAGAATCTAAAAGGAATTTATGCAGGACCTATATCATATTCTGGAGGTTCTCCTGCAAGGCAAAGGCGAACCTCTCCCATGCAGGTATCTTAGAATGTAAATCCATTGGGGAGTACAACAGGGCCAGCACTGAAGCCAAGACCAGCATGAAAACTCAAGAGCTGTGGCCAGCCCAAAAGGACACAATTGGTCCTCTGCAAATCAAAGAGAACACAGCTGTGGAAGGAAGATCAGGATGTGTTAGTGTGTATTCCTTACGACAACCAATGCCACAAATTACCCCTGCCAGAGGGCTGCTTTTGTGCATTCCATCCAGGACTTTATGACAATCAGAAATGTTTAGAGATTTGAAGTTCAGAATTGGTCTGAAGTCCCCATTCAGCTTTGGCATTGTAAATAGGCTCAACCAGAATCTCTGAAATCCTGCTTCCCCAGGAACAAAGCTCGCTGTGCCGAAAGTTGGAATACAGCTTTGTACTATTCTGCTCTGCGAGAGGGGACACAGGGACACAGGAGAGCCAAAAATGAGGTGAAGGACAGATATCAAACTCCAGTTTGTAACCCCAGGAAACGAATTCCTAAACCCAGGTGTCTGAGATCTGCCGACACCAGATGGTTGAAACCGACAGCTGACATCCCTCCACTGACACTGGCAGCAGTGAGGGTGCACCGAAGGGAACTTGGGACCCGGTTTTGAAGATTTGAAAGCCCAAGACTTGAAGGGAAAGAAGAAATTCCCAATCAATGGGATATTGTTACTTAAAATGGACAATTTTTCCTGAATGCTTACAATCCTCATACAAAAGATCCCCAACTAAGGCATATACAGGAAACACTTTAGAAAGCCTATTCCGTTTCCTAGAATCCATGCTGGTCACAGTTAAGTCCATAGGCACAGCAGAATCCAACACTTTTTTCATTGATATTTTGAAAAAAAAAAAAAAAAAAAAAGCCATTTGGGTGAAAATGTCTTCTTGCTCAGACAATTCAAACAACGCTGCTCGCTGCATCTGAAAATTGGGGGAGCCATGGCTGTTTGGGGAGAGAAGACTCAAATCCCCAGTTCCCTGTTGGAAACAGAACAAAGACTGGGATGGTGGGAAGTGATTGAATCATAGTCAAACTACCTTCAACCTTCCCATTGTGTTTAAGAGTCCTCCATGGTTGTCATTTCCCTATATTGACAGCCACATTGTATTGGAGATTTCCTGCACTTTAAGTAAGCCACTTCAAGTAATAACCAATGGATTTTGGTTTGCACTGTATAAGATCCCTTGCCAGTGCAGACTCGAGTAGGAAGCCATGTGCCTCCAGAGTGTCCTGACGTATTGCACTTTGAAGGGTGAATGTCATTTTCGAGAAGTGGGAGCATGTGCGGGTGCCATTTCCTGTCAGAGGACAATATGGCACCCACATATGCGCCCTAGGCCAGCAATAGCATTAATATGACATTGGCACATTCACCCTTACAGAGCTAGGAGTGGCAATATGGTAGTCACATATTTGCTGGAGTGCCAAGATGGTGCCTGCATGTCCAATGTGTCTTGAGGACCTGCCTAATCAAATGGATCTGACTCTCTTGGGAAGCGAGATAGGGCTGTCTTAAATGGCCCACAACTCCAATCTGCACACTTCAGTACCTGGTCAATGACTGAACACCAGCCACAAAGAACAGCTTTCAAAGCTTATCTTTGGTCAAAAAGTAAATTTGTTATATTCAATTTGCACACTTTTATTTCAATTATTTATAATCTACTTTTATAGCCTACTGCTATTAATGTGAATGAACCCTGCATATTTACTTCCCTAAATTCTGTGAGACGTATTCACTATACCCTGTTGAAAGACAACACTGAAATCACTGAGAATTCACGGAGCCTGCCTTCTGAACTACAGGGGTGTTAAGAGGATGAGTTCCAAGAGGTTGAGTCAGTTCAGAAATCACTGACTACCGGTACCTTGCTGCCTGCAAGTAGTGGAGGAGAAGCTGCGTAAGATGCAAGGAATCCATGAGTTGTAGAATGGGATGGTGAGCAGACAGGCAACACTACATGAAATATTTTTTTAAGCAAAAATATATTGGATGGTTAAAAAGGTGTATTTCCTGTATGCCAGGTCTGGCTCAGTTGCAACATTACAGGGCAGCCCCTGCTATCTTCACATGGGGTCCAGATACAATCCCTTCTGCACAAAGCCAGGGGGCAATGATCAAGAAAGAGGATACCCTCTGCCGTAGTGGTCTGGTGCAGCCTACAATTTTTCCTGATAGGGGATCTCACTGAACCCCAACTGTAAATATTCTCTCACATGGAAAGATGCATCTGTCACCAAACAAGTAGCTTTGCCAGAGTCCAGGTACCTAAAGTGTGACATAAATCCATCTATTAAGTTTTGAAGACCCATGCCCTGTATTGTACAATAAAGGAAAAGGAAAAGCACAGTATGTACATATTCAACAATTTTCTTCAACTGTGCTATACTAACATATTGCATAGCAAACACCCGAGATTTGAAAAATGTTATTAATAAAAAGGAACTTCAACAATAAAAATTAGAATATCATGTTGACTCATTTCAAACTTATTTTTACATTTTCTTCAGTTACTTCCTGGTTTCCAAGCTTAGGCAAATGATGTCATACATCCCAGGAGTCTTCAAGAGGGGAGGAGGGGTTTTACCAATTAAAAACACCCTCCAGAACACATGCCTGAGCTAAGGGCAGATGGTTTCCAGGAAATAAATGCTACATGAATCATCTGCCCTTTCTTGAAATGGCCATGGCCAAAAATGCTTGGGGGGTTGTTTTCTCAGCAAAATAAAGCGTGGAGACATGGATAGATGAGTTTGCTTTGAATAATAAAAATTAATTAAACAGCAATTTTGGTGTGTGGCGCTCAGATGCAGTGTAGTTCCACTTTAAGTGCTCCTGTTCTACCAAATAACCAAGGCAGAAACAAGTTTCATGTCAGTACAGCCTAGACGGGCCATACACATCTGTGACTATTGCTTGTGACTTACTAGTGTGTTTGCAACTTCAAGCACATTGTACCTGCCAGGACATCTGTCAGTACTTATCTATTCTTTTCAAAGTCACAGCTGTTTAGTACTCACAAATTTCAACATTAATGTTCACTCTAAATTGGTGGCATACCCAAGCCAAATGTGTTTAAAATTATACGAATGTTGACTATGAAGTTTTTATTTCCCCAATCTCAGACAGTGCCCTCTCTACAAACTTCAATCTTTTTTCTTTTAATTTGATAACGTTTATTAACGATTCCAGAGTAGGGTTACATCATTGGGTGGTAACAATCATCCCCATAAACAATGAGTATCCAAACAACTAGGTTACAAGGTATTAACAAGAAAGCATACAGATAA